CTGGCAGGAAATAAAAATCTAGCTGATAAGCGGTGGAGCCTGGAGATTGAAGTGTTTGTGAAAGAGTGCGAGGTTTCAGTGGGAACAGGCTGAACGATGATGTGGGCTTGCTATTGCTGTGCATCCCGCCGGTACTGGGATTGCTCCCGCCACCAGAGCCCGACGATCACCATGATCATCCAATGATGCATTTCATATTGGCGCTCCACAAAGAACCCAGCAAGCAATATACCGCCCAGGTCATCAATTACCACACATAGATGTGCCAATATAGCGGGCTCTATGAAAGCGAGTTTACGGAAGGTGCTTGACGATGGCCTGCCAGAGCCTTGGGTTCTCCAGCTTGTCAAAGTGCGTGCCCATATCGCGCACCACCAGCGTGACATCCTCGTACCAGGAGTGCACCAGCCGGCTGGCAAACTCGACGCATGGTCCGGGTAAATAAGCCCGTCAGTCGTGCTATTAGCCACAGCATATTGGATATGCGCTGCCCCCGGGAACTTGGCGCCGGCCTCCACGTACAGGCTGGCCTCCGCATACTGGCTCTCATCAACCGCCATGTACATGAAATCATACCCGGGCTTCTTCTCCACCAGCCGCCTGATATCATACACGCTGTGAGTGTCGACCTTGTCATAGTCCGGGTACGTGCTGGTCAGGAGGAAGCGCACGCCGGCAATCAAGTCGTTGATATGCATCGCGTGCTTGGTTGACGGGTTGTCCTGGACGTTGAGCCGGTAGTTCAGCGCGGCCACCGCCACCGTATTTCTGGACAAGGCGACCAGACCCTGGCAGAGATTGACCAAAGTCGCTCTTGTCGTGTGCGCGCCAGCCGCCGCCGTGCACGAAAATCACCAGCGGCAGCCTCGTGCCTGCTGCTGCAGTGCCGGGATGTACAGGTCCAGGTCCTGCCGGGTGACGGTGTTTCGCCGCATAGGGGGTGTTTTTGTGTATCTGCATGCTGGTAGAGTAGACAAAAGGTGCTGTTTGGTGGTTTGTGTAGAGGAAGAAAACCTGGTTTTGATGTAGTGTTTCTGGCGAGCTCTGTTAGGAACTCTCACCCGGGAAAACCTGCACGCCGCTATATAGCCGTCAGCTGCAAGGGCTTCAGGAAACTCACCAAGGTGCGTTGGATTCTGATGTTTTGCCAGGAAAGCAATGCACTGGCATAAAATTAGTTGGTTAACAGCCAAGTGTAAGCATGCCAATACATGACTGTCTTTCCTGCAGCACATCGGATACTACCAGCCTGCGGGTGACCAGTGGAAATACATGTCTCTTACTACTGCCGCAGGATTTCTGTGTTCTAGCTAATACTGACGTGAGTCTTCCATTGGTACCGTATTCAGCCTGCGAGGCGTCTGTCTATGCGGTTCACCCAACTGTGATGACTTTTTTGTACCTGGCTACCGATTTATGCAAGATGATCGACAGATATAACATCGTGCGGTATTCTCCCAGACGCATGTCATACCCTTGCACAATCAGCAATATATCTGCGGAACATCCCGTAGAACGTGCTGTCATCACCCTTCTACCCACCCCCAACAACAGCACGCAGATCGTGTGTCGAATTCAAGGTGACACTTGAATCCACGCTGATTCAACGCAGGCTAGCCTCCACTCTCTGGGATGCTGAAAGACACGTGAAAGCCCTAAAAATATTTTTGTTGGCTGCCTCGCATTCGCCTGCAAAAGCCCGAGTGTGTTCTTTGAAAAACTCCCCTGCCTCAACAGCACTTCTACGTCAACAATTACATCAACTTTTTCTCTTCTCCATTCATACGCAGCCCTCTATTCTACTCCATCTGTCCCATTTTTTCCCCAAGCATGGCCTCCTCGTTTGTAATGGCGTCCACTCTAGCCAACCGTCTAGTCGACGGCGACAGGGGGTATATTCGCGTCAAGCGCTGGCTGTCCAAGATCGCGCATTCCGAAAAGCCCACCACACAGCCCGACGACTACGAGCCATCCATCTCCGACGACACCACGCTCTACACCGGGCGCCCACGCACCCTGTCCAAACGCCTCCGAGGACTCTGCCACCAACCTCGCCCTGCTGCAGTACCAGATGCAGCAGCCGCCACTGATCAACTCGGCGCAGGTCGATGTGGCCATTGCGCTGGCGGTGCGCGCCCGGCAGGAGGACCGCGCAGGCAATACACATGCGGCCTCTGACCTATTCGTTGCTGCGCTTGAGCGCATGGCTCTGGCACTGCAGGACATTGGCCGCATTGAGAACGTGAATACACGTGAAAGGCTGACAACGCTGAAATTGCTGCTCGAGTCGAGCTGCCATCTGGATCCATCGCATAACCCGCAGTTTGCCAAGCTTTTGGCCAGCGAGCCCACAGTAGTTGAGCAGCGCGCTGACAATGCTGCGCAGGCCCAGCTGCAGGCAAGCGACTCTGCTATGTCGGATAGCTTGAAAGCCTCGCTGACATCTACTCTGGCTACTGCCATGAGTCTATTCAACCAGGCGATGGCTATGTGGCTCGTGTTCCTGGGCAACGTGTTTGTATGGGCTGCCGTGCAGTTCAAGAACTCGCAGCTCCCTGAGATGCTGGGCCACCTGATCTTGCAGCTCGCCGCATGGGTGTACGGACTCGGAGTACAGCTCAAAGTCCACGAGCATGTGGTAGCTGCAGGACAGCATGTGCTTGCATGGGCTGTGCAGCTGGACAAAAAGACGCATTTCTCGGGACGCCTGTGGCTGGCTGCTGCATCGATGCTGAGCGCCCTGGCGAGAGTTGTCGAAGAGTCAAGCGCAAAGGCTAAGACTGAGTAGCGTCTGGCATTGTGGCCTATACATATAGCATAAACCCTTTATTAGTCATCACAGCAGTGACTGCTGGTTGGGAACCTTTCTGTATTAAAGACCGAAATTAAGATAGAAATTTAAAATGAAATTTTAGATGAAATCATAAATGAAACGTGGAGGATGAGCTTCTGAGTATCATCCGTCACGTATAAAAAAAGGGAGCTAGTACCTCTATGGATGAGCTCCTTACCGGAAAATTTTTCGGCAAAAATCGCCAAGTTTTCATTAAAGGCCACCCTATTATCTCTAATTAACTTTTCACAATGTCTGACATCCAAATCCGCATTCAACAACTTGAACACGCCCTAGCCGCTATGGGCGTAACTCCTGGCGCTACACTATCACCGCTTAGCTCTGATTTCTCCTTTGATGAAGACACGCTATCTTCAGTCCCTGCAGCTACCCTCCCTGTCTACGCATCGTTACTAGAAGACCAAGATCGCCGTCACCTGCTAGCTGCCACAGCAAGAAACCGAGACCGCTCCTTCGAAACTCCAGAATTTCGCATCCACTGGCCAGCTATACGTGACCAAGCCACGGATAAAGCCCTTACAGAAATCCAGTTTCGTATCTCAGGGATCTTTCGTATCCTGGATGATGCCCTGTTACGTGCCTCACATCGACCAGATGGTTTTCCCCTCAGCGACTTCGCACGCCTTGCCAACAACCTCTATTTATTGGCAGCAGATGCAGCATCATTTGTCACAGCCCAGCGCATTAGGCGCATATATGTGGCTCATGGTTTGCCCCCACCACGCAACATTGACCCAGCTAAGGGCATGGCAGATGTCATCGAGGATATTCTCCACCAGAAAGAAGTGGCTCGAAAACTGGCACGCCCTATGGCAACCCACAGACACAAAACTCGCTTCCAGAGCCAGGGAAACGTGGGTACCCCACCCCCTCCTATACATTCCCCCCGACCACATTTGCCCAACCAGCACAACACAACCACATCCACTGGGCCGCAACCCCCAGTGGTCCCTCATCGCCTGCTGCGTCAGCGCCAGCAACTAGCAGAGGCTGGACTAAGCAGTGATGCTATCTCAATTGCACTCCACCCAGCAGCACAAACGGCCCGAACCCGAGCCTATTCTTCTATCCAGGACCGGTTCAGTACCTGGTGTGAGGAACGATCCATTCAGGCTACGAAGGCAGCAGCAGCTGACATCGTCAATTTCCTTGCAGAAGGACGGGTCCACCTACACTGGGAGCCGAGCACTATCCTCAACTACAGATCTGCACTTCTTGATATGCAAGATGACCCCTCACGACTCACCCACTCTGGGGCATTCTCAGCATTCTTCACTGCTATCGATCGCTCTGCACTACTCTCATTCGACAAATCTGCACCAGATATCTCCCCTATCCTTACTAGTTTCCGCTCACTTGGCCCTTCTGCAACTCTCTCTATACCAGACCTTACACGCAAATTGTGCTGGCTCCTCGCTGTCACTGGCTTTATGCGCCCATCAGACATTGCCAGAGTTGATGCTTCCCGATTAGCCATACACACAGATCACGCTTACCTAATAATTGTTGCTCCTAAGGAACTACGCAAAAGGTCGCCGAATTGAACGGCCAGTCCACATCCATAGGCATCCAGACCCCCTCATTTGCCCTGTGGACTGCTTAACGGCTTACAAAGCCAATATACTCGACATATATCCAGCAGCCCCAGCAACTCACCCGACGGCCCCTCATCTCACATTCACACCACTTATCCGTGATCAACGACGCCCCTTCCATGGTATTGGCACTCAACGCATCTCCAAACATATACAGGCCATTATGTCCCTTATCACCTCCTCTCGCCGAATCTCAGGGAGGTCCCTTGGCTCAGACGCTGCCTCTAAACATGGAGCCTCTCTTGACGAAGTACTGACACAAGGTTTTTGGTCTGCGGCAGGGGTCTTTGATACCCACTACCGCATTAACCGCCGCTCACAGACCAACCTGACGACACTTGCTCTGCAAGCACCTTCTCCACATACCAGCAGTCACTGCTGTGATGACTAATGTCATCCTGAACGAACGTCTCGTGACGTTCTGGAAACATTAGTCGAACAGCAGTGACTGCTGCCCTCCCTCCTCTCCCTCTCTTCCGAAAAATTTTCCGGTAAGGAGCTCATCCATAGAGGTACTAGCTCCCTTTTTTATACGTGACGGATGATACTCAGAAGCTCACCCTCCACGTTTCATTTATGATTTCATCTAAAATTTCATTTTAAATTTCTATCTTAATTTCGGTCTTTAATACAGAAAGGTTCCCAACCAGCAGTCACTGCTGTTCGACTAATGTTTCCAGAACGTCACGAGACGTTCGTTCAGGATGACATAATACACACATCACACATTTGTTGCTTCTTGGCTGGAGCGGGTATTGATAGCAATAGTGAAGATGGTGTTGATATCCTGGATCAGGCACCTGACAATGGGTGGTCAGACCCTGACATTTGTACCTGATAATGGCTGTGCATGGTGTTGTGGTGCGTTTTGCATCCAGTCGCCAATGCAGCGCGCCATGGCCAGGGCATTCCCACATGCCATGCGCCCTTTTCTTCTCTCCCTTTCCTTCATTTTCTGTTACTCAAATTAAAGCTCCTTCCAAACTCCAGAATAGACAGCAAACGACGAATAACTAACACATTCTCAATGTTATTTTGCCGTTAATGCGCGAACATAATATGCATGTAGTTAGTGCAATTTTTTTTACTTATATACGAACGAAACATGTACACTATCTATAGTCGTTGAGAGATCCAGTTTTCACGCCCAGCTACTGACAGTCGCGACGAGCGTTGCGCCCATGCCAGTCTCGCGCGACTTGAACTCGTACGGCGCCTTGGGACTGCCCACAAAAAGCGAGAACCCGGTTCCCTTGCCTGCCGCAATCTTGCACTGCTCAGTGGCATCGATCTTGATCGGCTGCTTCGTGTCCTCGACGTAGAACGTGAACTCATCGCCCAAGAGCCCTGGCCTGTTGTCACCATTGACCGTAGCCTCGTCCCAGGTATTGGCGACAGCGACCTGGAGCGTGATGTTCAGGGGCGGGACAGGAGTGTTGAATGGCGGCAGCGTCAGTTCGCAGCTCAGAAGGCGGTTGGGTGCCTGCGTAGCCTCCGAGGGAAGAGTGAAGCCGAGGAGTGCGAACTTTTCGGTGCTTGCCTTCAGCACAGGCTCGGAGCCGTGGGGTTTGGCAGACTCAATAGGGGCGACTGAGATCCAGGAGTCCTTGAAAGCAGCGACTGGCCCGTAGGTCTTGGGGTTGACGGCAGCAGCGAGGGGTGCGGCCAAGGCGAGGAGAGTGGTGGCGATGATAGCGGCCTTCATTCTAGGTTCTTTGGAGAAGTTGGCTGTTCCTTTGGTGTCGATGCTGGAATGTATCTGCTGGTAGTGGTGCTGGAATGTGAGGAGCATGTCCCAGATCGCAGCCCTTTTATGCCAGGGATTCTGTGCTCGTTGCGCAAGACTGGTCCAGGAATAGCTTGCACTACGATGTCTAGAGGCTTGACAGGCTTTTATTTTAGAACATGCAAGGACATCAGACCCCACGGCATGCTGACAACCCAAGGTGAGTCGCGGCAGCGCGCTGATTTCCATGTATGACAACCCTAATGATTTCCCCAGCATAGATCGAGGCTGCAGTGCTCCCCGCTACTTCCACATGCTCTGAGAATGGAGGTTGGCTGAAGTGTTTTATTCTCCGAGCGACCCTCTACTACGTAATGCATTGAAACGAAAATAGGTGCAAGTAGAGCAAAGTGAAGTGGCATCTATTTGTATAATTTTATCGGCGCAATGCTTGTGTGGGTATATCCAGAAATAGTATTTAGAAATGGCGGTTTTGGCACGCAGCCAGAAAACCTTCCCTGTTACTACTGGATTGTGGTCTGTGGAAACTAGTTGCTGTCAATTCTTCCGTCTCGGGGATACAGGAGAGCGCGATCTGCTGCTGCTGCCACTGCCATCGGAGGACTCGTTTGACGAATCATCAGCCTTGCGTGAGACGGGGCTGCGTGAACGGCTAGGCCGACGATGCCGACGGTTTCTATGGCGCCTTCTCCGCCTGCTGTAGTCCGACGACTCGCTGCCACTAGACTCCGATGCACTGCTGCTCTCGCTTCCCGACGACCTGCTGTCGCTGTACGACGACCGGCGGCGTCTGCTACGGTGTCTGTGGCGACGCCTTTCCTCCTCTTCTCTGCGCCTGGCGCGACTACGCGCACGGTCCTCGAGCTCGGCAATGCGGGCGCGCAGCTTGGCCTTTTCGTCAGCGAACGGGTCTTTCTTTGCGGCCGACGCCCGGGGCTTTACCTTGATGTCGTTCTTGCACTCGTATGTGAGATGGCCCATGCCACCGCACTTGCGGCAGGTGCTATGTGTCACTGTCTGGTCGTCGCCCTTGACCAGGCGCTCGAATGCCTGCACGCCGCGCTGCTGCTGGTCTTGCTCGTCTGCCATCTTTTTTTTGCTTTTGGGGTGGAAATAGAGTGTTTGTTACATAGGGCCAGCCGTGGCTTTTTTGTCGGCTGGAGCCCTTTTGCGCCACTGGTATTGGTGCAAAAAGTATGGTACTACCAGCCAGTTATCAAAGCCTGGACCGGCATTTGCTTTTCCGGCAGACTGGCAGCCTTTTGTTTATCGTTGCTCACCCCGGTTGCCCCACACCGCAAACACAGTCGAAGCGCTGCCGTTGCCACACCTTGTTGGGGGAGGCGTCGAGAGCTGCCGAAGCGCACAACGGCTGATTGGTAAAGCCAGCGCGCAACAAGCAGAATCGGAATGCGAGCCCCACACTGGTGATCCCGAAATAGGAACACAGGTCCAGAAAATAGAGCAAAATGGCTTTTTCCTGCTTTACATCCTCGCTTGCCTCATAAATAGCCTCTGCCTGCCGCATTTCGCAATTTCTTTTCTTGCAGTCTCATCCACCTTTCTCTCTGTTACTCCCCCTTTCTTTCAGTGCCCTTTACTTTATGACCTCGCGTGCATTTGGCGGCTCAGACAGAAGCAGAGTTCAACGCCGCAACACACAAAGCAACACACAGTCTTCCTGGGACAGTGCCAGTTCGACACCAACCCTGGTTCCGTCGAATTCCTCATCTTCACGCCAAACACCAATTTCCGGCAGCAGCACCCCGCAGACCGGCAAGAGCCGCATCGCCTACCAGATTAATCTCGCGCCTGGCAGCGACATCGAGCTAGCACCTCAAGCACAGCGCACCGACACAAGCCAAAAGTACCGCCGCGACACCGAGCCAAGCATGTTCCGCGACACCCTCAGCTCCGTCGGCGGGCTGTTTAGCACCAACAGCTACACCGGTCTGGGCCAGTACCCGAACAAGTACCGGAAAATCGCCGCCAAGACCTGGCTGCGCCTGGCGGGTCTGGTCATTTTTATTCTCGGTCTAGGATACATTGGCATTGCCACGCTGCGGTCATCGTCCGGTGCCACGGACTCGGACATGTACAGCGGTATTGATTCGCGTCTGCAGTCGCTGCACTGCGATATCCCGCACCCGGGCCGCCCGCTGGTGCAGTATGTGCTGATGTTGGACGCTGGGTCGACTGGCTCGCGCATCCATGTGTACAAGTTCAACTACTGCAAGAATCACCCCGAGCTTGAGGACGAGATCTTTGAGCAGCTGAAGCCCGGTCTGTCGTCGTTCCCCGATGATCCTAACGGTGCCGCCCATAGCCTGGACCATCTGATGGACGTCGCCATGAAGGGTGTTCCCGAGAGCCTGCGCTCGTGCACGCCGATCGCCGTCAAGGCCACTGCTGGTCTGCGCATGCTGGGCGCTGAGAAGAGCGAGGGCATTCTGAAGGCCGTCGAGAGCCATCTGAGCAAGGACTACCCGTTCAAGCTGATCCCCGAGAGCCCTGTCGAGATCATGGACGGCAAGGACGAGGGCATCTACGCATGGATCACAGTGAACTACCTCTTGGGCGTGCTGGGCGACGAGGAGCACAAGACCGCTGCCACCTTTGACCTGGGCGGCGGCTCGACGCAGATTGTATTTGAGCCGCGGTTCGAGAACTGGAACAGCACGACCGGTGGCCCGCAGCTGGCGTCCGGCGAGCACCGGTACGAGATGAAGTACGGCGGACAGGAGTACACGCTCTATCAGCACTCGTATCTGGGCTACGGCATGATGGAGGCCCGCAAGAGCATCAAAAAGCTGATTGCCCAGGAGGCCTCAGCCAGCGGCAAGTTCTCGGTCGAGCACCCGTGCTTCCCGCCCGATTACCGCGAGGAGCTCTCGGTCGAGGGCAGCACCAGCCCGGTCACCATCCGCGGTATTTCCAAGGCGTCGCTGAAGGGCAAGTCTGCATACGATCAGTGCTACAAGGAGGTCAAGAAGATCCTGAAGAAGGACGCGCCATGCTCCCAGTCGCCGTGCTCCTTCAACGGCGTGTACCAGCCGGAGCTTGACAAGACCTTTATTGACAACCCGTTCTACATTTTCTCGTACTTCTACGACCGCACATACCCGCTGGGCGTACGCGACGAGTTCAAGCTCTCCGACATCAAGGCCCTGGCCGACAAGGTCTGCAAGCACAATCTTTCGCTGTTTGCTGACAAGGAGCAGGAGGAGATCAAGAAGGAGGACTACTGTCTGGACCTGTCTTTCCAGTATGCACTGCTGCGCGATGGCGTTGGCATGCCCGAGAACCGCGTTGTCCGCAGCACCCGCAAGATCAAGGACGCCGAAACTGGCTGGTGCCTGGGTGCTTCGCTTGCTGTACTGGACCAGCATGACTACTGCAAGTACAAGAAGATCTACTAGACATTCATCGTTCTCATATTTCATTTCAACGTGTTTTATCTTCCCTACTCGTTCGCTGAGCCTCTACATGTGTGTGCTACTGTTATATTGGCCTGTACTCATCATTGTACAAGGAGAAGCATGGGTGGAATGACAGGCACAGTGTATGTCGCTTGAAGGTGAGAGCATGAATCTGTCGGCTGAATATGGCTACACCAAGCACCATTTCAAGTTGACTGATTCCTT